TAAAGATTTTAGTACAGCCTTTGCTAGTAGCCAAAAGTTTCCTTTGCTCCATGTGCCAGTGGAAATGAGCTAAACACATCAGCTGACAGCATTCATCCTTGCTGTTTTCTGCGTTCTGTATATCCAGTATATCCAGTATACATATTCACATGTTCCCAATGCAATCAACAAATAGGTAACCTCATGCAAACTTTATGGAGTTCTATAATACTTTGTTTTTCAGAACTATAGAAGAAGAATATGTTTCATAGTTAGCGTTCTTCACACAGTTGCCTTTTGGAATCTTTAAAGTCCTTCTGTGCAGGCAGAAGAAACTTTATTTTTCTATCAGGACAATAAATAACCTACCCAAGTGGAATATTTTAGGTTATACTGCAATACTTCTGTTTGCTGCTGAATTCTAAAATTTCTTTTAAAGATTTTCTCCTGAGATGCATCAATGAGCTATTTCCTCTGCTTATCTCTTCAAGAATCTGAAAAGTTAAGATATAAAATATATTACCTCATAGGAAATGTTTCTGTGAATTAGCTTACAGGATACCTGACTCTGAGCCTCTAGTCTTGTGGCCATAACAGTCCTATTTAAAACCTGCAGATCTATCTCTTTCTTTCTCTTCAATTTCCACACTTCCTTTTAGACATTCATAATTAACAGCAAATATCAGATTTGATTTGATTTCTTCCTAATCCTTGACAGAAGCTGTATGGGAGATACTCACTTCACAATCCTGCTGATCAGAGCTGGGTAAATGAGTACTTCTATCAGGAGGGCTCATGCCTTTGAAAAGGTTTAAAAACGGCTTTTATTTGAGAATAAAAAACAGGCAGATAGATGTCAGTCTGGGAACTTCAAAAAAGACAAGCCTATCTGTCCCTCTCTAATTCATTATGCTGGAAATGTTGAAATCTTTTCCCCTAAGCCTTACCCAACGGAGTTAGTATTTACAGGGCATTACATGAAATAACCTGTTATGCCATGGGGAAAACATGATGGAAGGGGAAAAAGAAGATAACTGTATAATATGAATTTTAGGGAAAAAACTTTCTATTTTCCTCATGGGCAGAGAGTAGGTGGAGTGTAGATCAAACCTTCCAAAAAGGATCAGACTGGTCTCAAGGTTCAAGTATACATTTCTAGCTGAAACATGCACCCAGGCAAAAAATATCTTGACCGATGGCTGTTTTGTGAATATGAAAATGCTACAAAGCTGAACCTGACTTGCTCTTTGCCCTATCACTCCTCCTCTCAGCGCACATGGCTCTCCTTACTTTCATTATACATGCTTCCATCTTCCCTGTGGCACCTATTAGTGACTTCCTTTGAAGATACCAATCAAAAATTTGAAATGCTAAATTTTTCAGTACTGGTTGAAAAGGAAGGCTTTTATGGAAGCTGAAGGATGAGGGAGCTCACAGTTGTTAAGCGGCCATGTACTTCAGTAAGCAGGGGAGTACTTGGGAACCAAATTTCTGGGCTCCAGTATCTAAATCCTTCTTTGTCTTGGCCTTCAGGGTGCATAAATACTTCAGATGATAAGAGGTCTTTCCTGGCTTGTGGGAACTTCATGGGGGTAAGTACATTTAGAAAGAGCACACACTGTCATGGACCCATGATACGAGAGGCCAGATGTCTGTGGGGACATGTTTTGGTTGTTACAAGATTTGCATCTGGCTAAGCAAACTTCCTCTCCAGGTAACAGCCAGCATGAGGAGCATTTTGACCTATTAATAACCAGCTTTGAAATGATACAGAAAACAATCTATAACTTGCACATAATTAAATAAGATTTTCAATTTGAAGAGTTTCCATCATCCCTTCTCCTTAAACTTTGAAATACTTTACAAGGTGAAACCGTGGTTTAAGCAGACTTTTTTAGTATGTATCAACAGCTATGTTGAGGAAAGAGAAGATGCAGGAAATTTAGGTAGTTTTAAAGTACTGTTTTTTGCTGCTGATGTTCGATTCTATTTGTTTTATAACAAAACAAACTTGCACAGCAGGAAAACAAAAGAAAAAAAAAGAAAAGAAAATGCAGCTTCTGTCTGTCAGCTTGTTTGTCTGGAATTTCCTTTCCCTGCAGCCTTGCTGCTGGGGTGCTACAGGCACAGTGCAATGGCTCATCAGCCACTGTGAAACTCAGCAAACTTTTAGCAGCCTTATATTGTTTAAAGCATTGCTTTTGGGTTGCAGTCTTATGGCAATGTTGCAAAAAGGTGGGTGTATCTTTGCTGGCTGGACTCAATGTATATTAGACAGAAGTCAGGAAAAGAAGCTCAGGAAAGAGGAAAAATCAGGAGAAAAATAACATGCTGGGGAAACAATAAGAGCTGGAATCCAAGAGTCTAGCCAGTATTGTCAGAATTAGTTGGAGCTGGTGGAGGTGAAGGCACTGCTTAATTTCTTCTCTGCATTGAGTCTGCTGGGATATATTTCTCAATTAGACTAATAAAGGCATTGGGGTAAAAATAATTTCTCCCACTTCCTATAGTTGTCGATATGCCACATCCAAAAGACAGTGACAGACCCTTTCCAAAATATTAGCCTCGGAAGACTGCTTGTTAGTGATTTCAGTATTCAATATACCATTCCCTTTTTCAGAGCTAGATGTAGTCTTGCTGATCAACAGCCTGGTCAGGAACACTGGGATGAGTTTAGATCAAACTTATGCAGACTGAATTAGTTTTTCTAACTGTTTTTTCAGTGTATGATTACTTTTGAGAGAAAATCTAGAATATAGGCTGAAATGGACCTTGACAGAACAAGGGCTGTAGGGTGGTTATCATTGTGTGACTAAATCAAACTTAATCTTTTGACACGGTTCAGTCTCCTCTCAACCTTTAATTATATCTGTTGTTCTCCCTTCAATCTGCAGCAATATGTTAATATCTTTTAGTAGCTGAGCCATTATATCTAATTAAGGGATTGCAAATAAATAGGGGTGGACAGTTCCAAACATACAATAGCTGCAAATAAATAGAGAGGGACAGCTCTCAACATATGGTAATGAATGCAGCCATAAGGCTTAAAATATGTATTTTAACTGCCAAATTTTATGAGCAGCTTCCAACTGGCTTTCATTTGGCTTCATCTGTATGTCTGACAATCATTGTAAATGCAGGTTTTGTGCCATATCATTTTTGTACTCAACGGCTAGAATTTATGCATGCAGCATTCATTTGCACTATAGACTGAGACTATTCAGAGAAGAAATATTTTATGTTTGAACTCAATATACTGGATGTAACTATTACTACAAAGTAATAGTTCATGTTACTATTACTTTCTGGACTAATACAAGGGTAGTCATTATTAATATTTGTTACCAAGTCTCAGTGCTCTCTCCATCTTTTCAAGGATTCTTTATTAATATTCTAGAAATATTATTTGACTGTTCAGTCTTTATCAAATTGCTATCCAATGTTTATCAAACAAACCTTAATAATTTTCACTTTGATGTAAAATAGTCATTGTGGCATTTCAACAGAAAAGAGCCACCTTAAGAACTGAATACATAAAGCCTTGCTAATAATTTAATTCCTTTTTCAATTCTTACATAAATGAAAAGCAAGAATTACTTCTCCAAGGGTAATTTGCAATAAAGGAAAATAGCAAAACAGTGTTGAGCAAGCACCTTGTAGGCCTGCGTCTAGCAGTTGGGGTTATCTGGACACAGCACCTTCCTGGAAAGGCAGTGTGACATTTGGGGTTATTACTGCTCTGACTGTTGTAGGGAAGGAAGACCGACAAAGCCAAGGGCTTCAGCTGATGCTACCAGTTTGGGAAGGATGTCCAAGCCCTCTCTCCAGGCATGAGCATCCTCCCAAAGGAAGCAGTAGATGCTAAAGACCCTACAATGAAATAAAAAAGATCTCTTAGAAAATATGCTGTTCTATGTCGCCATCTCCTTTTTGCAGCCCATGTAGTAACCCACCTTTTCCATTCTCCTACCCAAAATAAGGACCAACTTTTCTTATGCCTTAGACCTGATGGGTATTGTCTCTGAGTTCTTCTACTGCTAGTTAACTTTCAAGTGTTCATCAATTTCAGATAAAAAAAAGGTGGGTAGTACTATTTTTTAACATTAAACATGTAATTTGCAGAGTAACATTAATGCATAACTGCACAAAGCAATTACGTCACTTTACTTGAAAGGTCAGGGACTTTTTCAAAACTGATTTTGCACTTTAAAACCCCTTCTGACCAAATACAAAATGAGTAAAACACGTTCTTAAGGCTCTTCAAGCAGGGTATACTACCCTGATGCCACCCGATTGAACCTCCTCTGCTACACAGACCGAGTGTCGTCAGAATCAGTCAAAAGAAAATTTAACAAAATGGTTCCTAATAAAAATAGGTTTTAGCTACAAGATTTTTTGTGACCAAGATTAGGAGACCAAAGCCTTTGGGGAAAAATAGGGGGGGGAAAAGCACCGTGCAAAGGGTTTTTTCAAACTTATTTTTAAGGAAAACATGAAAAAAATTCTTTTTATGTGGGGGATAATTTTAGCAGCATTTTAAACGCTGGAAGTATGATACCTGTACACTGTGAAATGCACCCATTGCATGAAATATTCTATATAACTGGTAACATGTAAGGTAAATTAGTGTAATAAAAGTAAATGCAATTTCTGCAATTATACTATTGCAAATCTTAAATTCATTCAGAAAAGAGTGAATATGATTTGCATCTGTGAAATTAAGTTGAGTATTTCTCATGAGGAGAATCTGAACCCCTAATGCAATCCTGTTAATTGGAAAAGTAGAGGTTATTTTGGATATTGTACAACAATGTGTTATCCCCTCCTTTTGAAGTGACAGAACAACCTGGACCCTTCCTCTTTCTTGCTAATACAAATTATTTGCTTATGTCCTTTATAATTACCATTTCCAATTTCCACCTGTCAGCTCTAAAATGTAATCTAAATTCAGGTGCCTAAAAATAATTTCTTTCTCAGCTGTTTGTTTCTGTTCCTTCCATCCTTCCTGATCCTGCCTGAAGCAGAGGAAGGTACGATTGCGAGGAAGGCCCGCAGGATGATGAGGCTTCACCCAGAAATTGAAGGTCTGACCTTACGCCTCTGCAGTCAGCTGGTGGTTTTGCCATCCATGACAGTTGTGGTATCTTATGGTAAGTCACAGTATAATGCTTTTCTGGGGAGAAACACTTTACAACTCATTGATTACATTTGTCTTCAAAACAAGGATGGTTTGGGCCTTACAGATTGATAACTTGCATGAGAACTACTCAGTATGTTGAATTAGAATGAAATCCCCCCCCTCCCCAAAGTAAATTCTAAATCTCAAGTTTCACTCTGCTTTTGTAATTGGAAAAAAACCTGGTTATAGACACATAGTAGTTGTCACCAACAAAGTGGTAACTTACCCTGTCATCTCTATAGATTTTACTTTTTTGTTTTGTTATAATCCATAAGCATTATTAGATGCTAATCATTGCTTGGATAAGAGTTTTCATGAACATACTATTGGTGATTCATGGTTTTTTCCATTTTCATTTGAGGAGATGTCACATATTTTCAGTGTCTGGTTAGTTCAGTCTCATGTTTTTTTGGTTTTTGCTAGCTGTTTTAACTACTGTTGTAAGAAATAAAGAAATATGAATAAATGATGGCTGGAGAAATCTATGGAAAAGGGTGGAATAAAATCTATGTGAAGAAACACACAAAAATAGCTTTATAACTTGCTTAAAAAATAAATTATGTATAAAGTAATTTAAAAAATTATTAAAAAAATCCATCCTGATTAAGAAAGGTAGTAGATTAGATTTATTGGTTGCCAAGACAATTTGTGGTCATTTTGTCTTGCTATGTGTACACTTGTTATGTTTCTGCATGATGTTATGGGCCTGGAAATGACAACAAGATAAAGACAAAATACTAAAATTTGAATAAATTTTAATACTCTTATCAATTTCTCCTTAAGTTGCACTGTTAAATTATTTGTTTACGGAGGTTATTGCCAATGTGATGACTTGGAAACATCATCTTTTATACAGAGAATCAGAGGTAGAAAGAGACATTTTTGAGATATAATTTTAATGCTTTTTATCTTGAACAGCATCAGAAACTATTCGCATAACTGTAACAACAATGGTTCTCATTTCCTTTAAGGTGTCCTTTTTTTGTTTAAATCAACATTAAAATCCTCAGAAGTGTGGGAATTTTGAAATAAATTCACTAGAAAAATAAAGATACTATCTTTTGGTCAATTCTATAGAGGACAACTCTGGAACTCATTCTGAAATAGGTGTTTTTATCACCAAACACTATGTTTGTGTGCAAATGGCACCTTGGAAAATTATTATATTGGCACCTTATTATATACAAATAGTTAATGCTTTTGGAAGATCAAATTAAATTTATAAATAATTGAAATACTTTATGATTAATGTGAATCCTTATAACTATTTTTCTTTTCTGACACTATTTTATACATATTTTCGTGACACTGTCTCCGTATATTTGAGATATACTTGTGTTCAGTTTAAGGCCTTAATTAAGAACAACTGACAGCTCCCCTTAGCACCTCTGGTAGATGGATCTAAGAAAATATAGGCTTTGCCACACACATCTAGAAAATTATAGCACTGCTTCTCTTCAAAAGGTTATGGATATTTTCTCATACAATATTTATTACAGTCACATCCCGAAGCTATAATCCATGGTGCCAAGTTGACCCCTACACATAATTGTACTGCGTGTTCCACCCCACATCAGTCACACAGAATAGTGGCAGCAGGCCTAAATGTTCAAAGGGTGTTATTTTTAACCAGATTCTGGATTTTGTTATTTTGTGTTATCATTAACAATTCATGAAGCACTTATTGGAACTAATAAACTGATTGCAAGCTAGAGAAATGAATTGATTAATATGAAATGTAACACAGAATAGTGATGAGCTTATTTCTATTGTAATTAATGGAAAATAAATCCAATAAGTGTCTGCTCTTTGGACTGCAAATGAAATGAACTCACTTCCAAAGCAGTCCCTGATAGTTGACCTTAACTGACTTGGAGAGGTTGACTTAAACCAAAGCTAACCAAGAAGTCATGTTTTGAGTGTAACCTGTGGCACCTTGTGCACCAGCCAACCACCTCCCACAGATTTGTAGTGGGTGTGTTTCATTGTGCCTCTGCTTTTAGTGTATATTACCCTGTCTGGCTCAATTTAATTCACAATTTTACATCATTTTACATCCTAATTTCCCTTTATGCCAGACCTGAGGAAAAGTAAGTTGTAGCAGAAGGTCCTTTTTCTCCCTCGTAATGATGCAGGTGAACGGGACTTCTGCTGACCTTTGCTGACAGTCTCTTCCATGGGAAAGCAGGTAATTTTATGCATCTTTTCTGTATCAAAGTAATGCAGATGACAAAATAGGAATATTAATAGATCCTATCTCTGCTCAGTGACAACAGAGAACATTAAGGGCAGAAGAGACATATTTAGGCAGAGCTAGAAAGTCCCAGAAGACAGTTAACAGGAAAATAATTTCTGATTAGTGAAAATTTTGGGATGCAGACTCACAGTGCTACATATTTTGAGTGTCGGTGTAACAAGAGACAAGGGAACAAAATAATTTTGGTTTATTAGCTCTTATTCTGGAAGATAAGTGCTGAAAGTTCCTGCATGACACCAGCCCCAGCAGTGTTGAAAATTAACTTTTGCATGAGTGTTTGCTGTGTAGAACTGTCTGTACGAAATCATTCCTGTTGCATTAATATTCTGTTTGATGAACTTTTTTCTAGAAAATATTCTAAATATTTAGCCTATATATCAAGTTGTGTTTGGTAGGATATTTGGGCAGAAGTTTGGGGTTATTTTTCTTGCTTCATTCTAAGTTGATTCTACATATTTCATATTTGGAACCTTTTCTCATATTCATTTAACATATTTTATTTGTTGAACAGTTAATTCTCGGCTAATGACAGTTGCCATCATCAGTCACATTTAATTAAAAAAGCCCTAAAAAACAAAAAAACACCCTCCTCCCTCCCAAAACTAAAAGCTGTAATTAAAATGTTTAAATATTCAAACAATTAAGTAAAATTCAATCAGGGTTGAATCATAACCTGGCTATCCACAAGACACTTAGATTTCTGTGTCTTGATTACTTATGTCATATTCAAAACAGTTCCAAACCAGTTGTTACTTCATATTTTCTTGGTCCTACATAGATTTAATTGACATTAATTACACTATAAGTCTGGCAGTGCTGACCTATTTAAATAAGGTTGTGTTTTCAAGGCACCAGGCCAAAATTACAAGCCATCATAAGTTCCTCTTGACTAATCTGTAAGATACATGTATTTCCACTGAAGTACTCCTCATGTGAGGTCTCCAGTGAATTGATAGCTCACTATATGCACACCTCAACTGATTGGTATATACCATAAACAAAGTAATGACACAGCAGATATCACATATTTTGCTGTTAAAAAACATTAAATATTTCAATTCTTTTGCTTTATTCAAAAGCACGGCCACTGAAAGATGACATGAGCCACTCATTGAATGGGCTATATTTTCCAAAATTTAAGATGAAATCTGAATTCTATAGCAAATTTAATTAACAGGCTTTTTTTTAACTAATGGAAGTTTTTCTTTGGCAGTTTACTTACTGGATTCTAGTTCTTCTGATGACTCATAGAGATAATTGTGGCAGTGGGGATCACCAAACAGACACAGAGTACAGTGTTTGCCAAATGCTGTCCTTAAAGCAAAAAGAATTCCATATGTAACTACAAAACCGGGGCATTTCTCAAATGATAAGAGAACTACTTTGCTCCAAGGCAGCTTCGTGGGGCACCATCTGGTTTCACAAATCTTCAGAAGTGAGATTTTCCTTGAATAAAATTTATCCAATCAGCCTCTGTGAAAACTGTGTAATGTAAAAAATCCCTCATTATCACATTCATTTGGTGTTCCTTGGTATCCTAGATGAGACTCGGTGCAAAACTGAGATTCTTTTTATACTAAAAAGATGTGGATGTTGTTTTCAGTGCTTCGTTAGGCAGATGTTTTACAACTTTACTCTCCATTTCTTTCAAGTAATTTCAAATGGCAAACAACTTTTTTAAAAAAAAATTTACTTTTATTGAAGAATTTCTTTTGACTTCCTATGCCCTTTTGGCTAGAATGTAAGTTTAAGAATTCAGATTTCTGCAACTCAACTGCAAGTATTTTAAATATTTTATTTCAGGCAGTCTAAGATGTAATGCATCTCTCTTTAAGATGGATAATTGATATGAAATAGGCTGACAAAGAGAGTAGTTTGTGTTCTCAGGACTTCTCTGCAAGTCTTGATATGGAGAGATAGCCAAAATTAATATTATATAGGAAGGATTTGAAATATGAGACGTCCAAAATATGCAAGATAAGCTACCATATGCTAAGAAGTTTAGTATCACCTCAGGAACTACAAAGAGAAGAAAAAAAATTGGCTTAATTCTAAAACAGGATTGTGTTGCAGGTTATGGTAGGAAAATGTCTTTGATTTATGTTCTAAATATTTTCCTTAACGTTAGGCATTAAAATAAAGCAATGTGAGCTAGATCAGGCCCTGTTTGAAAGAGATATAGTAAAATGCAGCACATTCTGCATTTTCAATAAATTGTAAAAGAATGCAAAGTATTACTGCTGAAACTCGTCTAATGTTATTTCTATATTATATGGTTTCTTGGTTGGTTTTGGTTTTGTTTTTGTTTGTTTGTTTGCTTATGGTTGCTGTTTCTGTTTTTTGTTTTTTTTTTTCTAACTAGGATTTAAACTTCTGAGGCAAACACAAACTGCAGAGGAAGAAAGAAAACTGTTGCTGTATGTTCACGTTGCCTATGCCCTCCAGTTCCGGAGAGGGTCTGTCACTTCTTCGAGGCTGTTGGTTGTTTCTATGATAATTTGTCCTGATGTGCAGAGAGGAGGGGACCAGCACTGCTCCGGTAGCAATAAGAATCCTCTGTGCTTCTGTCAGTGCCGTTTCTCCCCAATAATGTAACGCACAGACAGTAACCATTACAGCGTTGGCACACAACTATTATGCAGTTGACATCAGTGCTTAAGTGAGGTTGTAGTAGACTCATTCCTTGGCAATTATAAGAGGCTCCTTCTGTACTGAGGAGCCCACAGCCTAAACAAATGAAGCCAAGAGAGATGAAGGAACACTCATATCCTAACTTTGTCGGTGGAAAACAAGAAAAGAACTTGTCACTTGTTCAAGATAACTCATGAAGCTCATGGAAGTGGCATTAACCCAGGTCTCCGCAGTCTTTGACCAGCACTGTACTTTTAAGATCTTTCTTCCTTATTGACAAAATCATTTCATAGTTTCCTTCATTAACTTTCAGACTCAAAAATTCCCAGTGATGTTCCCATGGAGAAAAAAGGCTAACTTTTTTCAGATTTTTATGTTTGATGTTTCAAAATATTAGGCACTCCCTAGCCCATATTCACACCCTGCTCACAATAATAATACCAGGACAGACCAAATGCAGGTCAACAAGTTAAACCACTGTAAAATGTATGAGAGTTGTAGATCTGTCACTAGTGGTGTCCCCAAGGTTCAATACTAGGCCCGATATTGTTTAACTTATACATCAATGACTTGGATGAAGGGGCAGAACCTCCTCAGCAAGTTTGCTGATATCACAAAGCTTGGAGAGTGGCCAATATCCCACAGTACTGTGCTGCCCTTCAGAAGGACCTTGATAGGTTTGAGAGATGGGCAGAGAAGAACAGCCTGAAGTTCAACAAAGGCAAATGCAGGGCCTGCACCTGAGGAAGAATAACCCTGGGCACCAGTACAGGCTGGGGCCAACCTGCTGAGAAGCAGCTCTGCAGAGAAGGGCGTGGGGGTCCTGGTGGACAACAGGCTGCCCATGAGCCAGCAGTGTGCCCGTGTGGCCAAGAAGGCCAATGGGATCCTGGGGTGTACAGGAAGAGCATTGACAGCAGATCCAGTGAGGTGATTCTACCCCTCTACTCAGCCCTAGTGAGGCCCCACCTGGAGTCTGTTCAGTTCTGGGCTGCTCAGCACAAGAGAGACATGAAGCTCCTGAAGCAGGTCTATCAGGCATTTATGAAGATGATTAAGGGACTGAAGCACCTCTACTACAAGGAAAAGCTGAGAGAGTTGGGCCTGTTCAGCCTCAAGAACAGACAACTGAGAAGGGACTTATCAATGTCTACGAGTATCTGGAGGGAGGCTGTCAAGAGGATGAAGCCAGGCTCTTGGTGATGCCAAGCAATAGGACATGGGACAGTAGGCAGAAACTGGTATGCAGGAAGTTCCACCTGAATATGAGGAAGAACTTTACTGAGGGGGTGACTATGCACTGGAACAGATTGCCTGGAGAGTTTGTGAAGTCTCCCTCACTGGAGATATTCAAGGACAGGATGCAATCCTGTGCCATGTTCTCTGGGATGACCCTACTTGAGCAAGGAGCTTGGACCAGATGACCCACTGTGGTCCCTTCCAACCTTACTCATTCTGTGTGATTCTGTGAGAGTTTGTCTTTTGCTACTAGGCCAGAATAACCTAACAAGTTATCTTAGCACCAATACACAGTTTTAATTTTATTTCATCCACCAATGCTAATAAAAGAACACTCCAAGGCGAGAATTTAAAATGATTAATTACAATACTTTAAAAGATGAAAAAGAATCTGTGTGTGTCAGTCATCCTCACAGGGCAAGGAATAATGAAAATGCAATGCACAGAGGAATGAGTTTTCTATTGTCAATGATAAAAGTGATAATCGCCCCAAGTCAAAGCAAAATGACAGATGAAAGAAACCTATAGAACATTGCCTAGGGGAGCTCCCGAGGCCAACACTCAGTACCACATATACACATGCTAGACTGATATTTAATGAAGCTCTGGTTGACTCTGTAATGAATGTTGAAGGCTCTCTGGAGCATCAAACATCATTTAAGACTGCTAGAAGCAAATGCTTTATTTTTGTTTGGTGGCGGTAGGGTGTGGGGGGAAGGGCAAGCTTTAATACAGTTTTTCAGCTCTTTTAACAAATAAATTGAATTTGGAGGAAGAGAAAAATCCCTTTATCATGCAAAGAGCATTACTGTTTTATTGTATTTGTAACATTTTATTACACATAAAATAGAAGAGGAAATGCAGCAGGGATAGCCTAATGGGTTAATGAGAAAAATTAGACTGGTTTTGAAGTCTCTATTATTTATTCCGGCAAGGGACCAGTCTGACCCTTGTGATATAAGGAGTAGCCAATAGATTTCTAAATCATGTCTGTATGGTCTACGCTCAAGCAGCTGAAGGTGAAAAAGGAATTGAATAGATCCTCACCCATGATTTAATACGGATGTGGTGACTGTACTGTATAAATGTATCTTCTAAAGACCTTTGGGACGGTACAACAGTAAATAATGGTTCAAGTTATATATTGGTAGTACTGCTGAAGCCCAATAGCACTGACAGGCAACATTTCTTATCTGTTTTGATCTTAATCAAGTAATCTATGTGTCTTTTGTGTCTCTCCAGAGACATTTTTTGAAGTTAACATCACCACATCAGCTTTTGTTCAATTGTTGGCCGAAATTATGCCAGATTTTCTTCTCCACTCTCCCATTTTTTCCCAGCATACTAATTTCATTGTTGCTAGAATCATTTTAAGCAGAATATGATTTAATTCTGCCTCAACCAGCAATTGGCATTATTTGCATTCGTAAGGCTCAAAATGTGTCAACCCCCTGGAGATGTAATACTAAATTCTTATCTCAGTTTTTTTGCTGCCTTGCCAAGGCATGCAGTGTGTTAAAGACACAAATAAAAATGATTCTGGAAAAAAATAAGTCTTATTGGCCACTGGCAAGTAGCAGCCCACATTTATTGTAGTGGGAAAAGTTTAGTCTTCTTTGAGTGGATGCCAGCTCTTGAGAGGCTGAAATTTGGGCTTCCACCTACTTCAGCTAATAAATCCATAGAATCATGGAATCAACCAGGTTGGAAAAGACCTCCGAGTTCATCAAGTCCAACTCTTGATTCAACACTGCTGTGGTTACTAGACCATGGTGCTAAGTGCCACATCCAGTCTCATCTTAAAAACCTCCAGGGATGGTGAATCCACCACCTCCCTGGGCAGCCCATTCCAATGTCTGATTACTCTATATTATTCTACAATAACTTTTTTTTTAGTACTTCAGTAGAAACTATTTTTACCATTCTTCTGAAAGAGGCATAAAAGAGGCATAATTGCCTTCAGTGATACCAGCAGGCCCACAGTTGGGTCTCAAAATTCTTTACACGCAGGACATCCTAAGTATTCTACACCATCCTGAAAACTCACTAGCATTTCTAGGCATTGAACCTGCTTGAAAAATGATGTAAAGCATGTAGAAAAAATTCAGAGTAGTTGCCACAACATGGATGGGTATGGTTGGCATTAGAGGAAATTTAACCCCTCTGTATAATCACCAGACAGTAGAATTTCTATTTTAAACATAAAAAGTGTGGGACCCTTTCACTCCCATTGTAAGACCCGATAGTTCACCAGATAATAGTCTTTACCACAGCAATAGCTGGGAACCACATCACTCTGGAAACATTAATGTATTTAATTGTGGGTAAATTAGGGCAGAGCAACAAGTCATCAAGGATGGTTTTCAGGTGTTGGGGAAATGCTTTTCCCTTTTACTCCTGATGGGCTAACAAAGTTCCTTTTCCTTCCATCAGGAATTTTAAGTCCTACTTCAGGGAGATTATGGGATACTTGAACTAAACAGTGCCAAGCCTTCCCTTATTACATATTTTTATGGACCAGGACTAGAGAAGCACACGTCTTCCTTAAACATTTTAGCTATCACCAAAGGAATTTCAATCTGTTTCTGAACAAGTCTGAATACGCTAAACATAAGTGTATCAATCCAGGATGGAAACTGAATTTAAAACTAGAGGTCAGAAAAAAGTTAGTAAAGTGTTGCCAGTATTTTAACTCAATGATCCCAGGAACAGGCAGTCTGTGATATGAGATATATGTTTGAAGGCTTTTCACGTCTCATATAGGCAAATGGCCTCCTTGTGCCTGGAAGTGGTCTATAACAAAAATTTTGTATGAATCTGCTGATAAGTTGGTAAATTTATTCCATTCATTTCTTGTGGTATGCAAACATTTCCTCAGATTTTATTTTTTTTCTCTGTTTTCCTGGTATTCTTCTAATTCTGTGTAACTTATGCTGGAGGCAGTGACTAAACTCACAAGTGGAAAGCATGCTTCCCAAGAGGAGATGGTATGCAAAACAAATATATAATATTTGGAGTACTACTGGGAGGGGTTACAGCGTATCATAATGTGTAATTTATCAACTAGAATGAAGCAGTACAGTCTGCTCTAAATTTTTCATCCAAAATATGTATATGTAATACTCTGAAATTTTCATTTTTATAAAATCAGAATTCATTTTAAGAAATAAAATTGATATTTAAAGTGTAAAGACCTCAGACCCTCTGTTAGAGCAGGGTCAAATAATAAGCTTTAGGAAAGTGGATTTCTGCATGTATGTGTGAAATAAGGAAGCAAGAAAAACATTTGCAACACTAGCAAAGCAATATGGGATTTCAAATTATAGTGATACTCAGAATACAATGCTATTATGTGTTTCAGTGATTGCTTTGCAGGGAATGTCTGCATAAATTTACTCAATTTGTAAATAAACATTAGCTTTCTTGTCTTCTTTAGCAGCTTTTCATTCAGGCTGGAGTCATACTTTTTACACAAGATAAGAGAATATTCAGTGACTTTCAGTCTCACCTGAGCATCCTTTGCCATCACATAAAGCTGACAGGTCAGCTACACGGTCTTCATCAAGGTGGAGCTGATAGACCCTAAAACCTCTATTTTTGTTGAGAAGATGCCACATAATGAAGCTGTTGGATGCTGTGAGGGTAGCGGGGTGGCCCTGAGGTATGTCGGTAGCCTTGGAGTTCATAATCTGAACTGCATTCTCATTTCGCAGTCCGTAAGGAACTGCAGTCATCTGTAAGCTGCAGAAAGCCCTGCTCTCTGAGAGGACAATTTGGAATTTGTTTTCTAATATTCTTAATTTGGTTGCATATTTAGAGAGCTGAATCTCTCATATCTTAAATCAAAATAAAACATTTATTTGATGTTGCTTTTTAATTGTATTTGAATTGCAAAATGCCCCATGATACACTTTGTTAAGAATACTGTGCTTTAGTATGAATATTATTGTTGGCAACAATAAGGATCAAAGCTTGTTTCTCAAAATAGTGTTGATTACCATGTTATTCAAACGTGAATATAAAATTGCACATGTATATACACGCTCAGACTGCAGTGCATGATATTACTTGCCCCTGACATTTCCAAAAAGACACAAATAAAATCTGAATGATAGCTGTGAAACCCTTAGAACTTTATGATGCATTGGAAAAGAGTGGAAATACAAATGCATTCACAAAAGTTTACATTTCAGAATAAATTGAAATAAAGTAATTTACAGTCCTCCTCATCGCCTTTGCAATGTGGGAAAAGATCATGCTCATACACATACATATATTTATGAGCCCTTCTAGCAAGATGTAGAACAAGAAAAACCTCATAAGGATCAATATTCTATGTGAGCAAATTGATGCATATGAACAGAGAAGTTGTTAATTTTTAGGTCTCCTAAGGGAACAAGTTTTAGATAATTATATGACAAAAAGGCCTTTTACAATCTATGAAAACACACTCCAAAATGTCAAATGCATAGCAGCCATGCTTCACCTGTAATGGTAAAAGCAATACATTCTGTAACCTTTCCCAAAACAGATTTACTAAACACAGTAGTTTAGTTTTACAGCACTGTAAATGTCTCTTGTACTGTACTGTTAGAGAGTTCTGCTGAACAAATACTGGTGTCCTGCTGCATGTCAGGATGTTGTGGGATGCTTTGGGATTTTCTATGGAAAGAAAATGTAGGCAGGTCGTATTTGGAGGATGCCAGATGGGACAGCCAAGTCAGAGAAAATTATAAAGGCAGGATGATCAGAATTTTTTAATTGGGGTGTTCTTGCAACTTGCTACTTCAGTAACAGACAGTCTACCAACCCACCGCCCCCCAAAAAAGCCCAGCAGCACATTGTGGCTTTCATCACCATAGCATCAGCTGTCTCTGAATTAGATACCTACAGCTCCCACACAATATCCTGAAGTAGGTAGGCACCCTAGGATAGCATTATCAGAATTTAGCATGTCAAAATCAGAACTGCAAAAGAGGAGCGAATTTCTTATCCCATTCACTCCTCTGTAACTCTTTTTTATGAAGTGAGATGATTTGGGGGTGGAAGAAAGTATGCCACTGCTTTCACCCAAA